ACTAATAGACCTAGCCTTTTACTCTAATATCTAGCTTTTAATATTCGAAGCTAATAGATTAAATAATAAAGACTATCTTATAATTCTTATATAAAACGTTAAGGTATATAGTAACTATATTAAACTAACGCTATTTATAACCTTATTAAATAATAAAGGTAAAGACAATTTTTACTAATATATTCTAGATAACTAGGATATAAAAAATAGAATCTTCTTTCTTTATCTAGTAGTTTCTATATACTACCTATCTAGCTTTAAAGCTATAAATCTTATTATCTTTAGTAACTTTTAAATCGTATACCTATTAACTAGATAATAGTATAATACCTTACAATTTCTATATAATATCGAAAGTTCCTTTTATATATAGGTTATTAATCTAGCTCTCTATAGCGGCTTACTATCTATCTATATATTTCGACTTTAGAGCTTACTTATAAGACTAAGAGATTTTAACGTCTTTAATATATAGTAGTCTACTATTATAAATAAAAGGAGTGCTCTATTTAGCGATAACCTTTAAGACTATAATTCTCTCTCTCTATATATCCTACTTTTATACCTATTCTTACACTTATTCTTACCCTAATCCCTCGCCTATACTAGTATTACCCTATAGAATATCTAGTCTTATATATACTCGTTTCGGTTAATATAGTCTTCGAGGATTTAGGAGATAGAGGGGGTTATTAGGAAAGCTATAGCGCTTTAGTAAGTATCTAATTCGGCTCGAATAGTAGGGAATAAACTATTCTAATAGGATAGATCCTATCTCGGTAATAGAATTATTTATACTAATTATAATAATAGATAGTTCTCGATTTATTATTATCGGATCGGGTTCGATTATAATTTAATTATAATTAATTATAGAATGATTAAGTTCGATTAGGATCGGGTTTTATTTAATTTCGATTAGGTTTATAATATAAAAAATCTCTATTTATAGAGTCTTTTCTCTAAAAGCTCCTAGTAAATAGTATAAAGAATTAGAGACTTTTTAAGGTATAGGATCTTCTATATTATAAATAGCTCGCTATATCTAATACTTATCTTTTTAAGCTTTTACTAGCCCCTATTATATATAAGTCTAAAATTAACGAATTAGAAGGGGTGTTTAGGGTAAGGCTTCCCTCTATAAAAACGGAATATACTATCGAATCTATACTTCCTAAGAGATAATATTATTATCTCGTTTAATAGACTAGTAAATAGTGATTAAAGACTTTAGAATTATCTCTAATACTATAGTCTTTAGAGCCTATTTTCTTAGCTATAGTAGTGCTAGTAGAAGAATTAGGGCTTCTATATTAAGCTAATTTATATACTAATAAATTATATTATAAGCCTAAAGCTATAATATAGGATATTAGGTAGTCTACTTTAGTATAGGCTACCGAATAGCCTATTATTTAAACTACTAGAAAATAGGCTAATAAACTAGGGTATCGTCTTTAATCTCTTAAATCCTAGATAATACCTTTAGTATAAGAGATATAGTCTATACTCTTCCTAATATATTTAGTCCTACTAACGCCTATCTCTACTAAATTATAGGCTTTATTAGGTTTTAAATTATAGGTTCTAGCTATTTACTAGTGATTACTATTTAGGGTACTAGCTTTAGTCTCTTAAATAGGAGTCTTCCTTTCTCTAGCCTTTATACTAGACTTATATTTTTATAGAGAGCTCTAGTATTATTATTATTTATATATAGTTTTCTTATATAAAAAGCTAGTAGCTACTACTTTAAATAAGCGGGGTTTTATAGGTTTTAACGAGATATAAGGAGAGAGTATAATAAGCCCTTACTAATATCGAAAACGTTATTAGAATTAGCTATTTTAGCTAGTTTATAGAATTAGTCTCGATAGACTAGTATAGTGTCGAGAGTCGAATCGATTATCGAGTCTTAAGGAAATAGTTCGCGGTCCGATTTCGGTCGCGATATAAAGTTTTTATAGTTATACTCTAGCGAGGTAAGAATCCCTAGAGAAAAATAGAGATCTTAAAAGCGATATCTTCGAAGATCTTATTATTAATACGGATTCGCTAATCCGGTATATATAGGGCTACTATAGGACGGGCCGGTACGCGTCCTATAAATATAGTGAAAATTGAAAATTCTAATTAGCTAGAAAAACTATTAATTTAGGTGCTCGGAGTCCTCGAGTAAGGGCCTTATAACCTATTAGCGAGAGAGAAGGCTACGTAGGAATGAAATGATATAGGGGAAACTGTATTAGACTCTAGTGAGGAAAAGAAGAGAGAGAGGAAGCTATCTACACTAACTACTGGAAGTCCTGGGACCCGGGCTGTCACGTAACAATCACATGCTGATCACGTGACTGCTCTAACAATACTCTTCTAATTTAAAAGAGATTTAGTCCTAATCTAGTTTAGATTCGCTTATATTTTTATTATGTAGCTATACCTCTTCTAATATTTTAATTAGGGTATAAATAATAGCGGCGTTTTTAGATTATTTTATAAATTTATAAGATTTCTAAAGCTTAAAATCTTTAACTCCGAACTACTATTTATTAACGTTAGAATATAAAATAACGTCGAATCTATTAATAAAAGTCTTAGATAAAAGGATAGGACTTCTTTTAAATCTCGAGTCTCTATCGATACTAATATAGGCTTATTTTACTATCTTTATAGTATTTTATAAATCTCTAATTATAAATAGTATCTAAAATACCCTATAGGTATAGAGTTAGTCTAAAATAACATCTTTTATCGAAAGAGATAAAAAAGGTATAGCTAGTAATTTTACTTTATAAACGAACTCTTTACTAATTATATTATATTTTATATTAGTATCTAAATCTATATATATTTCGCTACTATTTTTAAGAGTAATTAGTATATAAAAGTATACTATAGTCCCGATTAGTAGATATTAAATTAATATATTAGTATTTACTCTAGCTTTTTAACTTTTCCTAATTATCTCGATTAGTTTATTTTTAATATTTAGATTAGAGTGCTTTTTTATAGATATTTATTTATTTAGTGATTTTTATCCTAATAGATAAAATAAGCGTTTTCTAATATCGAAGTAGTACTATTTCCCTTTTTATTAAATATAGTAGTATTTACTAAGTTTTATAATTTTCTTTAGTATATAGAGAATCTATATCTTTAGCTTTTATCTTTAAATTAGTCTCTTTCTTTAGGCTATCTTTAATCTCTACCTTCTAATATATTAATATAGAAGTAATCCGATATCGAATTATAGTAGTTTTTTTATCTATACTTATTCTAATATTAGATATAGGATTCTTTTTTTTTTAGTATATAAAATAGATATAATAGAGGGTAGATACTAGCTTTAATATTTTATTTTAGATAGTAAATAATATACTATTATTAGTAGTAATTATAATATCTTAAAAGGGTTTCTATAGCTTTATAAATAATATTTAGGCCTTTTACTTTTTATTTTAGTTTAATAAGTGATTCTCTAATAAATTAAGATAGGTTTCGAAGTTATAAAGGTTTTAGAGCGGTTTTATTATTACTTTTTAATATATAATAAAGATATCGGTTATAATATTATATAAATTTCGAAAGAGTATTTTTATCTATTTTTAGAATATTTTTTAATTCGATATATCTTTAGGGATTTTCGTTTATAAATTACCTACTTTCCTTTATATATTATATAGAGATAATTAGTAGCTATAAAGATCTTCTAGATTCCTAAAACTTTTTTTTTAGGGCTTTTTTAAAAAATATATTAAGATTATTTAGCTAGACTTCTCTCTATTTAATACCGAAATTCTCTTCGAATTTTCTAATATCTCGTTTAATCTCTCTCTTTTAGTTTAGTTTACTTTTTAAAAATAATTTATAGTTAGGTTAGGAGTATTTTATAAGCTTTTCGAGGGCTTAAAGTTTTTCCTCGTTTTCTATAACTAGTTTCTAAGTTATAAAAAGGGGTTCTTATAGAGCCGCTTTAGCTTTATACTCTATAGCTTAGGCTTTAAGATCCTAGATAGTTTTATTAATAAGCTAGGTATTTTCTTTAAGCGATTCGCTATTTTATTTAGTAGGGGTCTTTTAAATTTAGATCTTTTTTTATTCTTCGATTTATAGAAATGTCTCTAATTCGCTACTAATTTAGGTAGGTTATTTAAACGCTTTAATATTATTTCGTAAGCTACTATAGGTTATCGGAGGAGCTATTATATCTTAGGTAGTTAAAGATAAAAAATTAGAATTATAAAGATATATAGTATATAGATATATAGCCTATTAACCGGGTAAGATATAATAGCTATAGGAGGGGATTAATATATTATCTCTATATACTAAGACTAATTCTTATTAGAATTTAGGGGGGGGCCCGGGGGGCCTTAGGATTTTAGGAAAATAGTATACTAAGATATAGGGCCGATCATATGACGAACCCCGCTCGCTTCGGCCATATCACATCTGACACGCCTATGTCAGCTGATCCCGTTTCACAATTGAAAGGACCCTTATCCTTTACATTAGTATAGGAAGAAGCGAGACTAACTAGCTTTATTTTAAATAATACCTAACAAAAGCATAGGATATATTAGATTAGTCGAAGATAGATATATTAATATTAAGTATAGGAAGACAAATTAAGGTAGTACGGTAGGCTAAGGGGTATTATATAAAATATTAAGCGAGAAATTCATTATGCGGGTATTAAGCTTACTCATATTTTTATTTAAATTAATTAAACCTATAAATGGTGGTGTAGTGTAGTACGTAGTAGATATATATATTTGGTAAGGGAAGCTAGAAAAGCGGAGTGGGTAAGAACATATGGTAGGTGATGTATTACATCTCGAAAGCCTTCTAAAATCCAACCTGAACCTTGGAAGCCAAACAACAGTGAACATGATGCTGACAAAATATTCGGGTAAACGCCATGGGCTTAGGAGTGGTCCCATTGAAATCCCGCTTTACGATGGCATATTAATGTGCCAATAAGGACCCTTTGATATGGTTTGCTAGCATTGGGCCATGTTCCGCTCAAAATCAAGTATGATCCGACGAACATTCTCGTGACCCTTTGCAGACGCTGCATCTAGCGCAGTCCCATATTTTCCTCCCTGGGCCTGGACGTCTACTCCATACTGGAGCAACTGCTTCACCATTGACTCATAGCCTCTCGCACTGGCGGCTTGTAAAGCATTGCCATAATAACCTCCCTGGAGATTGGGGTCTGCTCCATGATCGAGAAGGGTCTGAAAGATATCTTCATGACCCCAATAAGATGCAGCCTGGAGAGCTGTGCCAAAATACCCGTATAGGGTATTCACTGACGATCTATTCTGAAGTAGGACCGACACGATCGCTGAGTGTCCCCCGTTTGACGCTGCTTGTAACGCCGTCCCGTACTGACCACCCTTGATATCGACTGCCGCTCCATTTTCGAGAAGAATCTGGACAATGTCGGCGCGGCCGCTGGCGGAGGCACCCTGTAGTGCCGTGTCATAATTGCCTCCCTGGGCATTTACATTCACACCATGATCAAGCAGCATTCGAACAATTACCGTGTGACCGCACACTGAAGCCGCTTGAAGGCAGGTCCCGTAATGTCCTCCTTGGCTATGTGGATCGGCTCCGTAATTGAGTAAAGAGCGGAAGATCTCCGGCCAGCCTCCAGCACAAGCGGCCTTGAGCGCGGTTCCGTAATATCCTGCTTGAACATTGACGTCTGCACCGGCATCCAACAGCATTTTAACAAGATCTCCGCGGCCATTTGCGGCCGCTGCAGTTAGTGCTGTGCCAAAGTGACCGCCGGGTACGTTCACCAAGACATGCGGCTGGCATAAAAGGCGTTGGACGATTTCCTTATCTCCCCCAGCGGCAGCGGTCTCAAGTGGGCTCCCATAATATGAGCTACCTTGCAGATTGACATTCGCACCTTTATCCAGCAGAAGTTTGACAAGATTCAGGTGCCCTTCTTTAATTGCAACAATAAGTGCACTTCCGAAATTGCCGGTGTGTCCATCGACTGCGGCTCCATGGTCGATAAGCATCTTCATAATTTCGAGGCTTCCTCTTGATGTTGCAGCCTGCAGAGCGCAGCCATAATACCCACCCTCTGCGTTCACATTGGCTCCGTGTTTTAACAAAAGAGACACGACTTCAACTTGATCTTCAAGGCAAGCATGATAAAGGGGGGTTGTACAATTTAGGTCTCTTTCATCGATGGTAAACCCTTCCTCTAATAACCGCTCAGAGAGATCAACATGTCCCGCTCCTGCCGATTGGTGAAGTGCGTATCCTTGTGGCTTCAAGTGAGCAAAGTGATTGCGAATGGTGCTAGCCTTGACCAGTCGGGTTGCAAAAAGCACAGAGCTCGCATCAGCTTCAGGAATAATGAGCCTTGTGCTTGACAGGAGATCTGTGAATCGGCCAGGATAACGGATTGCTCGCAGTTGCAATAGAGATGCCTGGAACTTTCTGTCTTCTTGGAAAAGGTATTCTACCTGAACCAATATATCGTCAGATATTTCAGTAAGTGCAGCGATGTGATAGTCAAAAGGACCGAGAGGCATAAGATACAAGTGGGTGAGCTGCGAGAAACTCCTCAACACGGAATGGGTCTTTATAAGGGCTTTGGTTTCGCAAAGAACTTCCCAGATACTGGAAACAGCCCAGTGCCATTTTCTCATGCACCAAGTTCAGGTCCTGGAGGCTTCTTAGGGAGCCCCGAAATGGGCTACCGATAAAGAACTCTTTGACTGAAAAGTGTGCTGGGCGAATTATGTCATCTTCCGTAATCAACAAATTCCCACAAGCATCAAGGATGACATCAATAGGATCTAGGTTCTTTATGGGATTCTTCTCACGAAGCTTTAGGGCATGTTGCACCTCCGCCTCGCGTAACGGTCTCTCGGCGTTCAGAACCCACATAAGGCAATTCACGGCGAGATTTCTCATATAGGGATCATCATTTTCAATTCGATGGGCAATCCGGAGGTAAGTATTTTCAAGACCTCGTGGAAGCATAGACAAAGCTTCCCTGATAAGATGATCTTGATGTGCTCGGCTGACCCTGCAAATATTGTCTAGCTGTAGATCAACCCAAAGGAACATGCCGTCGGACTGCTCAGTCAGTGAAGAAGTAATTATGGGCACCAAGCTATCCTCGCTCAAGTAAAGCCGCTTCCCATTGCCACGCTGTCGAAATTTCGCGACTTGATTGTGAACAAAGAGCTTTATATCATCAGCAACATCAGCTGCTTGGATGTTGACCTTCAGGACATCTGCAGAATGGAAACCGTCGATAATGTCCGCCTCTCTCCGACTTGTAATAAAGATTTTGGCAGGTAGATCCCGGCACAGGCGCGGATGAACTGAACTACCTGACCGCGATGATCGCTGCTACACTCGTCCAAGGCATCAATCAGCAAGTACATGTCATCAAACTCCGCGGCTAATTTACAAAACACTTCCATCGTACCAACAGTAGCGGGACTTCGGAACCGAGTTTTGTGTTCCAATAACCACGGTGGTATCTCTGGAATCTGGCAACAGATTTGCCTAATTAAGGCTAGGAGCAGTGACTGAAGATCCTTCAGTGTATTGCCGTGGTAATCAAAGTAGATGTATGCCACAGCCGTCGTAGAGGATGCGTATTTCGTTGATATATGGTCCACCACTCTCGATCTACCCTTATGATAAGCCTAGTGAATAACTGATTGGAACTTGACACTCACGCGAGAACAGTCTTGCCAGTCCCAGCTATGGCAGATTAGTGTCAGTACGATCAGCCTGATGACAGGTCGATATCGACATACGGTTTCCTCCACACCACATAATGGCAGATCCTTGGGCCTGTGACCATTCAATAAATTCTTGCCGGTGAAGGATCCAGTCACAGGTTCCAGGATGCCTTTTCGCGGCAATCTCAATGTGTTTTGGCTCACAGTCCGCCCCAGATAGCCAATTGATAAAGGCTTCTTGATTCTCATCTGTCACCGGTGAGCTGCTGTTTTACTTTCATAAGTCAGGAAGACGAACAAGAGGCCTTTTTTCTGATGTAGATCTGATATGCCTCCGAACTTGACTTAAGCTCATGAACGGTATGAAGCTCCATAACTCCAGCCGCGTGTTGAAGGACATTAAGATGATGCTTGAGATTTTGTTCTATGGTTCCAAAATTCGTTTCGAATGGCTTCCATTGACTGCGGACAAATGTCAGAGATGACAATTCCAGTGGGGTTCGATGATTGCCGCCGGAGCCAACAAAAATGCGGCGTGCATCTTTGTAGAAGGCGAGCAGATCGACATAAACGGCGGCGGTGCAATTTTGAACCAAAGGTACTTGAATTCTCGCATACTCAGCTAAGGGGCTGAGGTAATCACTCAGTCGCTCGAGCATGTCTACCAACTTGGTGAAATAGGTTGTGAACCGCAGTGCGCTTTGCAAAACGAAAAGCGTCCCACCTACCACGATCGAAGCGATGATCGGATCGCTCTGAATAGCAATCGAGACTCCCGCCACAAATCGCTCCAGAAACTCTATGAAAGTGGTAATCTTCGCAGCTCGTGGTCGGAAATCAGAATCACTCTGATAGAAATTATCGAAAGCTCTGATGCGTGCAAAAAGATCTTGTTGGCTGAATGATTTCGTCTCTTCCAGGAATAAAAGCTTTTCTTCGGTTGAAATCCGGGCGAGATGGGTCTGGATGGCGACGTGCAAGGCTGGATTCAGGGTGTTACTGTTATCCGTGCTACCAGGAATCATTCCGAGGCCGTTGCCCGCTGAAAGCGATAAGGTTGAAGTATTTCCATGGGACTTTTGCTGCCGTGGGTGAACGGTCCAACAGCAAAGGGCTTGGAGCATACGACTGCACATTGTTGCACTCCAATATTCGAATTCGACACTAATTCTCTCTGATGACACACGACAAGGTCGAGATATTCGAAGTTTTTGATCCGATAAGGAATAGAGAAATCATTGCTATTATTGCTCTGGCAGAAAGTAAACACATGACGCTCGGGGCATGAATCTTACCCGGTGGGACATCAATATGCTGATTACCGATTAATGTGAAAAGCTGTGCTCAGGTCTCCTCATTGCCTACAAGTCTATGGATTGGTTGTTATTGTGAGCACTCATCCTGCATGCATTAGCGCCTACTTCGCAACTTGTTACGTGTTGCAAAATAATTGGCTGCTGATTATCTGCCGTGCGGCTGAGCAAAGCGCTCTTTGTTCATGTGAGTGGGACTTGGGCTCAAGCAAACCCCCCCACCCCCAATAAATATAGCTGGCTGGAGGACCAGTAGTTACGTATGTGTCTTCTGTGTCCTCCACCCTTTGCTTGCGCAACACTATCAGTTCCCTCTGTATTGCGTCTCCCACGACCACATTTTTGATTATCATAATAAAAAGAGAAGTCTAGGAAAATGTGCGAAGGGGTAAAAGCATATTCATGTTACCATTTCGTCCCAGATACACTATGCGAGAAATCCTATTCTCGGCCGGGATATGCTTGTCCGAAGTCCCAAGAAAATTGCAAAGAGTCCAGGTCTGGAGACTGTCCAAATTGTACGGGAGCAACGCGTTACTCTTGTCACATCTGGGTCAATGGGAGGGCTATTGATCTTAGGGCCGCTGTCGCCGCCTGGAATGAGACAAATTTGCGTTGCCCGGGGTGTGCAGAATAAGTGATTTGTCCAGCCTCTTCGGGTTACCGAATATCTACTAACAGTTATGCCAGGCTAAAAGAGAATTCGGTGGTTAAAGACGACGGCCTCTAACTTCTAAGTGAATGGGGGGGGAATGGACTAATTATAATTGATATATTTATATATCAGCTGGCATGTCTATATTTAAGATGCATGACTACATACTGCAGGATAGATATATAATAATTTCCTACATTAAATCCAGGCGTATACCGGTTGTCATATTTCAATAGAGATAGCTTTCTTGTTTGCTATATCTTTATTTCCCTTTGTATCTTTCCGAGCTAGGTCTATAAAGTAAGATTTAATCATCACATGATTACTAAAAATCAGCTAATTTCAAAGGATTTTATGCTATTAAGACCTTGTAGTTTGATATTATGGGCCTACTAGGAAAGGACTCCTGCACGGAGAACAAACGAACCGGACAAGGATCAGAGGAGGGATCAGTGACTGACAACCCGATCGGACCACTCGCAAAAGCTATTGTAGATATATATGGCTATATTGGAGAAACAGGTGACTGAATAAGAGAGTATGTGAAGTGGCCTTTATAACATATACAATTTTGTGGAAGTACTAGTTATACTAGTCTTATTTACTAATCTTTGATTATAAGTGATAGTTGGCAAGAATGTAAGTTTAGACAGGCTATAGTTAGGCTAGTTTGCCCCATCACTAATCAAAATAAGTAAAACAGATAGAAAATGCATCATTTATGATTTGATCATTGTGTTCTGATAGTCAAACCCATGAACGGATATATAAGCACTTCAATTCATGTACTGCCCGAGTGATATCCTCGGAAAATCCTGACTTCAGATGCTTATTCTTCGGACTAGCATCAATCTTTCCGCTCTTTCAAAGTTGAAAATCACCATACTCTTTGCTTCTGGGTCATATGACTAATTTTGTGGTGCTAGTTCTTTATGAACGGCGTTTAGGGTATGTATTGCTGAAAGTGATTCTTTCAATTTGGAGACAGGATGGTCAGGGTTAATTCCACTAGTTGGTGCTGAGATAATATGGACGATTTTTATTCTAGAATTTCGACTGCGCCCGAGCAAAAAAAAGGAGCCCAACCATACCAGATTGTAGTGATCGCGATAACACCGACAGGGGAGAAGTCAGCACCGGGAGGGGAAGGACACCTCAGCGCTTCAGGGGCGTGTAGGATCTTTAGGTGTAGAATAGAGGTGTTCAGGGCATTCAGATGAAGGGGCTGAAGGGACTGAAGAGTAGTAGGGCGGCAAGGGGACTTTCCCCGACGAATCAAAAAAAAAGGGGTGAATGCGGACATACAACAGTGAGGATTCGCTGGTGGTCACCCACCCAACTACTAACTCACCGGCGTGTGGCTCGGGTGGGTGCCGCCCGGGTGAGTTTAGGGTGCGCGCCGCTTTACCGTTGCGCGACCAGGGTGAGAGAGGGTGAGAGCGCAATAGACTGGGTGAGAAGCTGGGTGAGAAGCTGGGTGAGAGCGGGTGAGAGAGTGTGAGGTGAGATCTCACCCTCGGCCGCGCGGCAGCCGCACTGATCCCCCTCACCTGAGCTCAGATGCAGCGTTATTGGTTCACTCAAACGGGCTGAAACCACGATCTCTTGGCACTTGCACATAAATCACATTTCCAACCCAGGATTGGCCAAATCAACGGCGAGGCTGACTGCAATGTCGCCTTGGGCAAGAGGATGCTTGCTTTCCAGACACCAACATCACCACTTACAACAAGCGTTTTTGTCAAATGTTGCAACATAATTAGCCCCCAATAGGCAGCAATTTGGATGGGTCGAAAACACGGCTAATCTAGGCAGGGGGTAGCTCTGAGGAAGGAAACTTATTCTGTCTGGCGGCTACAGTTAAGATAGACTCATGTTAACTATTGACTTGCCATGCCCCTTCCAAAGATCGATCTACATAACACGCTGGCTGCTTTAGCCACTTGATGCCAGCATCCGCAACTCTTTTCCTGGGCGGCTATTGCTGTCCTCTGGTTGGTGAGCACAGACATGTGAGGCGTGGACACAAAAAGCTTCCTTATGCTCTTTCACGCCTTCAGCTCTGCTCGCTTTCTATGCTCATGTGTTGTCCACGAGAACTTGACGCAGCAGGATCCGCTAAATCTTCATTTTAAGATCTTCAATAACCTGTGCCGCTTGTAGCTGAAATTAGACCGAAAAGCCGCAATGAATTTGCGATCGCGGTGATCTGCGCCCTCCCTCTCGAGGCGGAAGCGGTCGAAGCCCTTTTTGACGAACGCTATGATCGGCTGGGAAAACACTATGGCAAGCAACGAGGCGATGCGAATGCGTACATAAATGGAAGGATTGGAAAGCATAATGTGGTCCTGTGCTACATGCCAGGAATGGGCAAGGGAAGTGCAGCAAGTGTTGCGTCCAGCCTACAAGTTAGCTACTCAGATGTCCGGCTTGCTTTGGTTGTTGGTATTTGCGGAGGCGCCCCATCACCATCAAAGTACCAAGAGATATTTCTTGGCGATGTGATTATTAGTGATTCAGTGATTGAATATGACTCCGGCAGACAGTACCTTGGCGGTCTTCAGCGAAGGACTGGCGTCAAGGACACGCCAGGCAGGCCAACCCAAGAGATTAGGGCTCTTCTAAATGGCTTACGCGTCGAGAATACCCGCAGCGAGCTTCAGAATCAGGCGCGACAATATCTTCATATTTTTCAGCAGAGAGGAGCGAAATGGTGTCACCCAGGGGTTAGTGACATCCCGTTTAGCGCATCTTATCTCCATCGGCATTCGCATCCTGCTGCTTCTGCTGGGTGTTCCTGTTTCGGAAGCGACTCGCCTGATCAGATTTGTAAAGAGGCATTAGAAATGGGCTGCGACGGCCTCGAATGTGACAAAAGCCAACAAATCCGACGTCGTGAAGTCTTAGAAGTCGTCCCAAATATATATATCGGACAGGTTGCTTCTGCCGACACAGTCATGAAGTCTGGACAGCACCGTGATGAAATTGTTAGGAAAGAGAACGTTATTGTGTTTGAGATGGAGGGGGCAGGGGTGTGGGACAATGTTCCATGCGTCATCATCAAGGGAGTGTGTGACTATGCCGACAGTCACAAGAGTAAGTTCTGGCAAGCATACGCAGCAGCGACCGGAGCCTCGGCGGCAAAGGCTTTCTTGGAGTACTGGATGCCTGCGACCCACGACGGTTAGAAATTGCCGTAAGAATTTCACGATGTCAGATATCTAATTATCCTTGATAGATCTACACGGAAATCTGGCAAATACCGTGCTCTTGGAACGAGGTATGATATTTCTCGCTTGCCAGTTCATTAGCTGACCATATTCTAGAAAGTGAATTCAGTGACCAGCACAACGCATGTCTTGCGAAACTGTTTATCACGGATCCAGAGGAGGACCTGAACAAATTGAAGAGGAGAAAGGGGATTCGCACCTCGGGGACATTTAGCTGGTTCTTGGAATCGGACAAACTCAGAACTTGGGCTCAACAAGTTGAATTCATGAGCAACCACAGAGCAAAGGTCTTGTGGCTATACGGCAATCCTGGGATCGGCAAGTCTACAATGGCTACGACCATTGCAGAAGAACTCCCGAAGAAGGACTACTTCTCCAATAGACTTAGTATTCTCTCTTTTTTTTCCTGCGAATCCGGCTCTGAATATCAGAGGACGGCGACATCCATCCTACGAGGTCTTCTGTACCAGATTATGTCCGCCTTTTATCGAACAAATTATGTCAAAATATGACGTTTAGGGAGAGCGACTATTCACGTCATTTGACGCGCTATGGACGGTACTGATGGATATAGGCCAGGTGTCTAAGGGTGGTAAGATATACTGCATCGTCGACGCTATCGACGAATGTGAAATTGAATCATGAGATATATTTCTTCAGCAAATCTACCAGTCCTTTATGAAAACAACGGATACCAGTCTGGTCATATCTAGGGTGCATTTCTTGATCGTCAGCTGTCCATACCCCAAGATTGGGGATTGCCTATCCACGTTTCAATGCGTAGTCTTGGCCTCATATAAGGAGACAACCAATGACCTTCAAACCGTGATCCAAGATAGAGTATAGGACCTTACGAGGCGGAAGAAGTACTCTAAGTCCCTTACGCTGAAAGTGTCACGATTACTAGAAGAAAAGGCTGACGGGACGTTTTTATGAGTCGGTATTGCCTGTGAGGAGTTGAAACGGGTGCCGTTAAAAGATGCTATTCAGATACTAGAAGCTCGCCTACGTGGATTATATCCCTTATACCAGTCCCTACTCGATACAGCCGTCATAGCCAGCAATCTAAACGATTATTTACGTGTGAAGAGGCTATTGGTGGTGGTAATATTTGCGTTGCGACCGCTAATAATAGCGGAAATAGCGAAAGCATGCCGGCTATTCTTAGACAAAGATGTTAGTAGCCGCCTTCAGTTCACTCGGGAGGTTATCGACTTATATCGTTTATTAGTGGTTATCGATAACGGCTACGTCCGACTGTTACATACGTCTATCTAGGACTTTTTAATGACCGAGATATATGAAATCCAATCTACTAAATCCAATTACGTGATAGCATGCCGATACATTAAGGTGATCTTCCAAAATTGCCGGTAAAACATAGATATGTCCACATTAGAACCCACTCACAGCTTCCTCGGCTATTCAGTTCTGCATTAGCCATAGCATACTAGCCTAGCTTAAATAGAATTTGTTATTCAAAGCGAGCATGAAAAATTCTTCTAGGACGTGCTAGGAACCTAGAGAACTTAGCTAGATAATTATAACCATCTGAAAAAAGGCTCTTAGGGCGCTCTAGAGACGGGCGCATCTGCCATTTATATTGTAGCCCGCTAGGGTATAATTCCCTTGATATTAGCCCTTCTTCTAGAGAAATTGGAAGATAAAGATATACGCGGGTAGTCCCTATTACTTATTATCGCCGAAAATACTCAACTCGAAGTCATAAGAGTGTTGATTAAATCCGGCGCGTACGTGGATTCTCTAAATAACAAGTATCAAAACGTTCTTTACATTACTTATAAGAATAGTCGCTTTAACGATAATTCAATGATCAAGCTCCTTTTTAGTAAAGGAGCGTCCCCATATATCTATGATAAATATAACATAACACCCTTCCTTTACGCCGTAGGGGACCGAAATAAAGAACTTGCTTAAGCATTTCTCCAAAATAAATTCGACCTAACAGCCGGGGTTAGACAGCGATTATGGCCTAGACGGAGATTTACACGCGGCTTTACGTACAGCCTATCTAAGCATCAGGAAAAGGATCTCCAATAGGTGGAGAATCTAGACTAACAGCGCTTCATTTTTCTACCCTAAACGCCTACACCGATATAACCGTCTTCTTACTTCAATATAGGGCCGATCCAAATACTCGGTCTGATTTCGGAGATACTACCCTACATATCGGGATAAGACGCTAGCTCCTCGGCCGTAGATACAATAATATATAGGAGATAGGTCTATATACTATTAAATCATTAAGCGATTTGATTATAGACCATATAGGCTCGGAAGCCTCTAATATCTATCGGGCTATAGACAATACGAGGATAAAGATCGTCGAAACTGTTACGGAACTACCCGTCACCAATCGATAGTGCCCCACCGGGTGCATAGATAGGCCACTAAGAGCCAACTAATCTATCTATTAGTAGATCATATATAGCACCTAGTACTCTAGTATACCTAGGTACTAAGGAAGAGGAATCTATTTATATTTAGTAAGCGGAAGTATAATTAAGCCTAATTAAGCTTACTACTAGAAGGGTTATAATATATATATACTTTAGGGTATCGGATATTATATATACTAGGAATCACTATATATAGAACTATAGATATATAACTATAATTCCTATATCGACTTTAAAAAGTATATATAGGAGTATATAGCGACTCTAGCGGTAACTCTAAGGAGTTATATTAGAAGTAGGAAGCGAAAGATATATAAAGATATTTATTTATATACTTAGTTTAGTTCTTTATCTTTAATTATATAGTATTACTTATATTTATCTTTTAGATTACTAGTAACTCTATTATTTAATTATAACTTAATAATACTTATAAATAGACTAATACTCGAATATAGATTTATTTAGCGCTTTATCTAGTACTATTTTTTAATATTTTAAAAAGACCTAGTCTATAGTAAAGTCTATTAGATAATAGTATAGTTAAAAGTATAGATTATTAATATTAGAAATCTAAATAGTATAAAGTAAGTATATCTAAAACCCTTCTAATCTAAGTATAACTAATTAGTAATATATAATATATTAAAAACTATTTTAAATTAAACTTTAAATTACTAATCGATAATATATCTTATATTAATACTAGAAAGAAGCTAGTAATTAAGCCTACTAACCCTAATTCCGATAATAAGTAAGATAATAAGATTAAAATACTAAAAGAGTAGATAAAGACTCTAATAAGTAAGCTTTAAAAGTAAGAAAAGTATAATATTATAATTAAAGACTATTTAATATAGATATATATTTAGGTTACTACTTTAGTACTAGCTAGTACTATCTAAAGACCGATACTATCTAAGGCTAAATACTTTAAAAGAAACCGAACTAAATTTTAAAGATTCTTTATTTAGATAGATATATATATATTAATATAAATAAATCTAAGCTTCTATCTAAAATAAGTAGAGTAATCTTTATATTAATCTATTTATATAGATAAATATAGAATTAGTTTAAATTTTATATTAGAGACTATTATAAAAAAGTACTTAAGGATTAGTCTAATATTATAATAGGAATCTTTAATAGCTATAGTAATTTCTAATAATATTTAGAACGAACTTTCGGAGATATCGATATTACTAAAATAGCTAAATATAAGCTATAAAAGATTAGATAATAAACTAGTATATTAGTCTATACCTCTAAATTCTAATAGATTATTTTATATTTTAATCTATTTAATTAAATATATATCCTATACTTTAAAATAAGATTTAAACCTAATATTAAAGATAAACTAGCTACGATTAGTAGGCTAGATATTTTAGATATATTTATTAAGATTATAGTTAAGATTAATAACTATATTAATAAATAAAAGTATAAATAATAAGAAATAGACTAATAGAAGTATAGTAAATTATATAACTTTAACTATTTTAGTAATAGACGCTATAATAGAGCGTTACTATAAAATAATAATCTATATAGCCTAAAACTAATAATATTAGACGCTATTTAAAATAAGTAAAATAAGTATTATAAAAAGAATCTCTATTTTATATATAGGAGACTAGGATACTATATAAAGAAATATAGGTAGAAGTAATTATATAAAAAACGGTAATACCTATAAACGATATATAAAGGACTATATATAATCTAAAAATAAACCTAAATAGTAACTTTAAAAAATAAGCCTTTAAAAGATCTTTTAGTAAAATAAGAATATCTAAACCTAAAAGAGATATTAGTAAGTAATCTATATATTAAAAGATTAGCTAATAAACTAAATTATAAATATCTAAAGATTAATTAGGATATTATAAAGAGTTAGAGATAGATATAATATATCTTTTAGAAACTAAACTATTTTTTAGAATAATCTAATAACTTTTAAAAGTAGGATATAAAATATCTAAAAACGCTAATTATATTCTTTAAAGCTAATATTAGTTAAAGAATCCTAAATATACTTCTAAAAATAGATTAAATAATTCTTAAAATATTTTATAAAAGTCTAAAATACTATTATTAACTAGAGAATAATAAAGAAACTAATAAATTTATAGGATATCTTAAAGATAAAATATAGATCCGCTAATTAGACTAATACTTTATTAATACGATTAAAGAAGGCGATAATCTAATAGGATATCTTTATAAAGACTTTATTTATATATATAAAAGATATATATAATATCTAAAATATAGTAGAATAGCTACTATCGGATATTATAATAAAATCTATATAATTTATAAATAAAATAAGCTAGATTATAGTATCGAATCTAGATTATAGAAATAGAAAAAAGAACTAAAATAGAAAGTAGAATATTAAAGAATTTAGTATAATAGATAGTAGTTATATAATTACCGGAATTAGCTAACTATATAGCTTAAAGCGATACTATTAAAAACTTATATAAAACTTTATATAGAGTTATTTATAAAATAAATATAGACCTTTATCGATTTAAATACTATTAATAACTTTATAAATCTATAATTTAAAGAAAATCGATAAATTAGAATAACTCTATTATTATATATAGTTCTAATTATAAGATTTAATAGCGAAATACGATTAGAAAGAATTAGTAAAGAAACTATTTTATTATCTATATCTATCTATAAATATCTAGAGTTAATAAAGTTTAATATACTAAAACTAGGAGACTATAATATTATATTAGGTATTCTATAGCTTAAAAAGTATAATCTAAATATTAATTAATAATTAAAATAAATTACTTTTAATTAGTATAAATATAAAAAAGAGTATAATAAATATAAATCCTATCGGAAAAGGACTATATAAAAAGATACTAGTAGTACTATTAATTAATTATAATCTAAAAATAGGATTAAATAATTAATAAATAGAATCGCTCCTAATATAATAGAATAGTTACTAAATATATCTAATTAGGAGTTAGCGGAATATATAATTATTAAATAAAAAAAACTATATATAACTAGTAATAAACTATAGATTCTAAATAAATATTATAAGTTTTAGGATA